GTCAGTGTTTGTGTCACGAAGGACAAATGAGCGCCGCCTGGTGGACACTGGAGGAACTGCAGCTTCACATCCTAATTGGCTAAACCCAGGCTGAGCGCTGAGGTGCTGGGATTACGCTAACAGGAGGGGTGTGTGTGTGAGGCAGTCAGCTGTCAGAGTGTGTTTGCATGAAGTTAACATGCCTTCAGGCTGCAATCACTGCTGTCAGTCAAACACACACACACAACATAAGACTCCTCTCATCTGTCAGTCACACAGACACACAAACACACACACACAGCTGTCTCTGTATTTTCTGGTGGTTGGAGGTGAAAATAAGGAGCTGAATCACTGATGCTGCATGCCCACTAAATACAGTCCACCTGGGGTTCTGCCCCTCTGTAGGCTTCCAGAGGTTGTCCATTGTGCACAAAGTGGGCCTTTAGTGATATAAAGAAGGATTATTTTGAACTGTGACTCATGCACAGCTGAACCGCAGTCCCTCATCAGAGACAGGTGTGTCAAAGTGGGACTTTGTGTGTCGCTGTGTGATTGAAGCTGGCCGATCTCACTCCGAGCCAGCGTCTCACCTGTCGGATCCAAGGTTTTGGGCCCGTGGGCGTCCTCTTACCCGTCACCTGTGCTCTGTCAGCTCTTTCCAGCTGGAACGTTCAGCCGCGGCAGGAAGAATCTGCCGCTCAGCATGCAGACTTTGTGTCTCTGAACCGCGAGGCGGTGAAGTCTGGCATGGTGACGCCCAAAGAGCTGAGTCAGTACCGGGCTCAGAGGGCCCAGAGCTCCGCCTCCGAACTGCGGCACGGTCGGCTTCCACGATGCCGCGATCAGGTTCCTGACATCACGTTTGGAGTCAGAAACAGGTGGAATTGATCACTTCACGATGATCAAATGATATCTGATCGATAATATTGAATGATCAGTGACCAATCGATGTCTCCATCAGGCCGTCGTCTCCGATGTCAGACGTCCTGTCTCATCAGTATGCTCAGCGCTGGCTCCATGATCAGCTGAAGAATCAAACCAACAACCTCAAATGCAAGGTGAGAGAGAGAGAGGCTCGAGTGCCCACAGGGTGTGTGTGTGTGTGTGTGTGTGTGTTGTGTTCACACTGTGTGTGTGTGTGTGTGTGTGTGTGTTGTGTTCACACTGTGTGTGTGTGTGTGTGTGTGTGCAGATGAAACCAGGGTGTATTCCTGACACGAGGACCAGCCTGCTGAGGAGGAGTAAATCTCTGCCGGTCATAGAAACACCACCCAAACCAGCTCGCTTTGCACAGGTGACACACACACTCACACACACGCACACACGCACACACACACACACACACACACACCTGCGCGCACACACACACACCTGCGCGCACACACACACACACACACTCACACACCTGCGCGCACACACACACACACCTGTATACTTACTGGCTCTTCTCTGACTCGGCGGTTTTTGGATGATCTTCATCGGCTGTCGTTTCTCTGTGTGGAGTTTGCGTGTAGGCGTGGTAACACCTGGCTGACGTGTTCACAGACACGCTCGATGACAACATCGTCTGACGCCCTCTCTGCTCTCTGCAGGTCGGTCCGGCTCTCGACACCTTCAGGGACCAGGAGACTCGTGTGCGGGCGTTTGGGGCTCGTCGCTCCAGCTCTCAAACCCAGCGCTCAGTTCTGAGGACCGCCCGTCATGAAGAACCTGGTGGAAAACGGGTGGAGCCACTCTGAGGATGTTTTCAGACAAATGCAAATAAAAGATGAAAAGTTCTCACAGCAAACCACATGTGGTGAGAGAGGAGTCCCCCAGGGCTCTGTGCTGGGGCCCGTTCTGTTCTCCTTAGAAGTCAATGCTGATGATACTTTTCTGTTTCCAGATAACTTGAATAAAATGTTGAGCTGTTTCTGGTGATCGTCAAACCAGAATCGTTTCACAGAGCTGAGGTAAAACCCTCGATCTGAGTGTTGAGTACTGAAAAGAAGCCAGCTGTTCGTCTGTGAAGACGTTTTAAAAACAAGAGCTATTATCCTCTGTGAGACACTGCCCCGCCCACCGTCCTACAAGGACCAGAGGTCACCAGCCCTGATCTGATCTCAGGACTGCACCATAGGTGGCTGATAGGTGGTGTCATAGGCCACCATCTCAGTTTAGTGTCCTCCTTTAGTGCTCTTTTTAACAAGTTCTCCTTGGTCCAAAATGTGAAGACCAGTATCTGCAATGAGTGACCTTTGACCTTTAGGTGCAGGTGTACAGGTATAGTTTGGTCCATGTATATTTGGACAATGGCAAGTTTTGTCTTTTTAGCCGTTTACTGAAACATGTTCCAACTACAGTTATATAAATCACATGGACGTGTCGACTGTCGGCTCTGGTTTGAGGGAATCCACATCCACACAGAGGGTTCAGGGTGCAAGCCACTCGTAAACCCCACGAAGAGAAAGGCTAGACGGGACTTTGCAGTCAGCACAGCTCTGGACCAACATCAGCCTCTAGGAGAATGATGGAAGAGAAAAGGAACAAAGCACACACAGCATCTGTAACACACGGGGAGGCGGCGTGATGGGCGTGTCTTTCAGTGCCAACAATGAGTTTTCAACCAAGAATCACAAATATTTTATTTTCCCCCATTTCATTTGTCTGATTACTTCAGAGCGCCTGACGTAAGGAGGTCGTGTCAAACATGTTTTAGTTCCAAACATCGTCTTTTTGTTTAACCCTCTGGATTAAAGCTGTCTGCGCTCTAACTGCGTCATTTAAAATCCACTGTGCTGATGAACACAGCCCACAGCAGAAAAAGTTGTGTGTCCACATACATAGCGCTGACTGTCAGTGTTGTTCTGCTGTTGGAGGGTCGGTGGGCTCCCCTGCCAACTGCCTCGTGTTGGGGTGGAGAGCTGAAGACGCCTCGTGGACGACGAGGAGGGCAGAAAGGGGAGGAGGACAGGAGGAGGAAGAAGAGGAGGACAGAAGGGGGAGGAGGAGGAGGACAGGAGTAGGAAGAAGAGGAGGAGGAAGAGGAGGACAGAAGGAGGTGGAGGAGGAAGAGGAGGGCAGAAGGAGGTGGAGGAGGAAGAGGAGGGCAGAAGGGGGAGGAGGACAGGAGTAGGAAGAAGAGGAGGACAGGAGGAGGAAGAGGAGGACAGAAGGGGGAGGAGGACAGGAGGAGGTGGAGGAGGAGGAGGAGGGCAGAAGGGGGAGGAGGACAGGAGGAGGACAGGAGGAGGAGGAAGAGGAGGACAGAAGGAGGTGGAGGAGGAAGAGGAGGGCAGAAGGGGGAGGAGGACAGGAGGAGGAAGAAGAGGAGGAGGAAGAGGAGGACAGAAGGGGGAAGAGAACAGGAGGAGGTGGGGGAGGAAGAGGACAGAATTTTACATGAAAATGACGTCAGAGTCAAACTAACGCGTTTCCGGCTGCTGTGGCTCCACACCTGCTTGGTCAGACTCACCTGAGTCCGGGCGGAGATGGAGGTGTCCGCCTCCGGCTGCTCCGGGTACCGGATCGACTCTCTGCTCTCGCTCGGGGCGCTCCTGCCCCGGGCAGACCCTCCGGAGCTCAGCCCGGGGAACAGCAGCGGCTGCTCGGCGCCTTCATCCCCGTGGAGGGAGCCTGCTCCCCGGCTGGAGCCTCCGCTGCTGCCCGCACCGCTTCAGCTGCGCTCCGCCTGCTCCTCCTTCCTAATCCGGGACATTTTAGCGGACTCTCACCCGGGACAGGTCTACTCTGAACCGGGACAACCCGGGCCGGAAGCCGAGCCATTCCGGTCCGGACAGGATGAAGATTTCCAGGATAAAAGTCTCAGCAGCTCATCTTCAGACAGCGAAACAGGTAAAAACAGAGAAAAGAGTTTAAAGAAGGAGAAAGTAAAGTTTCAATCAAAATAAAAATGAGAATCACGCGGATTTTATTTTCATTAAAAACATCAGAAGGTTATTTTCTTCTTTCAACGACCAAGAAACCAAAGATATTTTTCACTCGTGGACAGAAATAAAAACCAGATGAATAAAGTCAGTGAAACAGAGAAACAGTCTCGTTATTACAAACCTTTTGTGTTTTAATTGAGAGAAATCAATCTGAGCGTTCATTTACTTGTTAGTCGAACTGTTTTAAAGCGAAAATAAAGTTTCTGCGTTACGTGTTTTTCTCATTTTGAGACAGAAATGAAATTCATAATCTTAAAGAGTCTTTATCATAACTTCTAATCGGTGATCGGGGTGTTGATGATGATCTGTGAGTCTCATTAATCAGTGAAAACAAAGCAGCCTCCTGCCCGCTGACTCTGGGTCTTTTATTTTAGAGGACCTGCGCTTCTTTCTTTCACTCAGTTGAAACCGTGACTGATGGAGTCACGGGTGATCCTGCAGGAATCACGTGAAGTTAAAAAAGCAGCTGTGCACTACTTTACATCCCTGCTCTGTGTTTGTACTCAGGTACAGCTCATGCACGATGTTTAATCAGAGAGGATACAGCAGACCTGAGCAGTTTTCCAAAATAAAAGTTAAATCCAGGTTATTGAAGCTTATTGGTCAGATTTTATAATAATGAAACTCGGGAAATGTCACCAGAGTTGTTGTTGTTTGTTTGTTTGTTTGTTTGTTTGTTTGTTTGTTTGTTTGTTTGTTTTTGTGACCCATACAGAGAAACACAGCTTCATCAGCACCGAGTAAAAACACTGATCACGCAGGAATCTCCGTCACGGCTTCTGAACCTTGAAACCTTTAACCGGCTCCGGTCGCAGTGAGCTGCCGCTGGCGCAGCCATCAGACCTGCGGATGGTTCATATTTTTGTCTTTGCTGCACAGTTTGAAACGCGGCTTCGTTGTTTTGTGTTATTATTGTGTATTTTCAGGGTTTTTGTTCAGCTGCTAATCACAGCAGAGCTCCCGTGGGTGTGGGTCACATGAAAGCACCGCTAAAGTCATTTAACTTAAAACATTGTATTTGTTCATATTTAGCTTTAAACGTTGAAGCAGCTCAAACCTGCTGACTATGACTAACGGCCGTCATCACCGTGGTTCATCATTAAAGCTGTGACGCTTACCTCAGTACAAATGATTCTCTGACCACATTATCGTCATTTCAGTTCATCTTTTTTTGTAAAACTCAAAATCATATCGTGGCGGTTTCATTAAACTTGGCACGCGAACGCGAGCACATGTGATCACGTGATTCAAAACACTTTTAATCTGACAGCTGTGACGGAGATAAAACCATGATTGGAATCGTTTAACGAACAGCAGGCCGGGGTCGGTTCACTCTGCAGCCTCACGTCTGATACTTGGATCAGTTTCACACCACAGACACAGACTGTGGTCGTCCCTCGGGTAAGAACAACGCAACAATCTGATAAATGCTGTCAATCAATGTTCGCTTTTTTATTGATCACTTTCATCTGCTGAACCTCGGCTTTTAAAACAGAAGCTGAATCATAATAAATGACTATCATGAATGAGCTGTACCTGGTTTTTCTGTCGCCGACCAATCAGCTTACAGGACTAATGTGACGTCATTCCTACCTCAGTGCAGAGCGCCGGCTCCGACTCGGTGACGTCACGCCTCAAGAAACCTCGTAAGGCACGGACGGCGTTCAGCGACCAGCAGCTGGCGAGGCTCGAGAGAAGCTTCCAGAAACAGAAATATCTGAGCGTCCAGGAGCGCATGGAGCTGGCGGCTTCGCTGCAGCTCAGCGACATGCAGGTCAAGACCTGGTACCAGAACCGCAGGTAAACACACACCTGGTACCACAACATCAAGCAGATTATTGGTCGTCCCGGTCCTGGACTCGTGGTTGGTCATTATTTTGTTTTCTTCTTTATTAAAAAACTCTTTAAAGTTTACTGACATGAAATTTGAACCTGATCACATGACCGCGATGTGAGCGCAGACTGTGATCATCTCAAGGACGAACGCCGCGGTGACCCTGTGAGCGAAAAGCTCCGCAGCCTCAGTCTGCTCCAAACACTCAGTTTGTCATAGTTTTTTTCTACGCTCCAATCTTTGTGATGTCATAGAGGGGGCAGATACCCTGCCCACTGTTCTGTTAGTGAGGGGCAGCCAATCAGATGACAGCTGTCTTGAAGGAAGACAGAAGTTTCAGTAGAGGCTGATGTGTTCTGGGCGTTAAAGCCTGTTACACAGCTGGAGGAACATCTGCTTCCTGTCTGCAGGTTCTGATCCAATCGGGTCGCCTCATGTCTGCTGCAGTCTTTACGATCATGTAGACTCACGTGTGTAGGGTTGCCAACTCCCTGAAAAATAAATAAGGGACACCTCGTGGCCAGGGCCGGGCGACCCAGTTGTCTTCACCCTTCCCAGTGTGGTAGCTCTTTTTTTGTGTGTGAAATTATTTTTTTAACCCTTTGACTTGAAGTTGATTTAAGTAGATGCATATTCTATTCTTTGTGATATGAACACATGTGAAACAAATGATCATTTAGCCATTTATTTTTAGCTCAAAATGACAACATTAACACAATAAAACAGGTCTCCTTCTTAAACAGAAGCCTGTCATGCTTAACTTTTGAGAATATAAGTAAATCTTTCTTTAAAAGAACTTTGTCCTGCTTAACTTAAAATAATAGAAAACAATAGAAAGAAAAACATTCTTGTAACAGTGCACATTTAGTGCATTTAGTACAATCGGCTTCAGTTGAAATATTATTTCAGCTTTTCTAATCAGCTGCTCCTGTTTGTAAACCCGCTTGTTCCCATGATTACGCATCATAACTCATCATCATTATTCATCTATGTATTACTTTTATGTATTAGTCATCTATTTGTTGTAATCATCTATCCTTGCAGTTGTTTATTACACAAAATAAATTATATTATCACACTTCTGGCCACATAGCGCTGATATTCACTGCACATGCCCATATTAACGTTTTCCAGCCAGGTGTTTTCCTTTTCCCATTCTTCCCTTTCTCTGAGGGGAACAAACATTGCTGCTCTAACGCTGGGCTCACACTGTGCGGTTTTTGGCCCATTTTGAGACGATTTTTGAGTGATCAGACCGATTTTGGCCTTCATCGTGCGTCATGTAGTATACGTGGGGTAACGAGAAGTGATTAACACCTCACGACCAGCTCCCGATCATCAATCGCTCGTGAGGGTGTCACCACAGCCGCTCACACTGCTCATGCGCAAACGTAAACGTCGGTGAAAAAGACGGAGCAGCACGGCAGTGCAGCGTGTGATCTGGACACAAGCGATGGAGGCACAACTTGTAGAACTTTGGAAAGCTCATCTGAGCCTTTTCGATGTGGCCTCACAAAATGATCACGACCACAACAACCGTGAAAATAGTTGGATCTACTCTGCTGCTCAATCACAGCTGCCTGATCATGTTTTTCATTAGCAATTTAGCAAAGTTGATGTGGTGGTGTGTCTGTGTGAGTGAAAGACGGAGAGAGCGAGCGACAGATTTTCTGTTATAACCTTCATGTTATGGAGGCACAGTGTGAGCACTCAGGTCGCATCAGAGCATCGGGCCGTATAGTGTGAGACCTGCATCGTGACCTACCAACTTCTAACCCCTGCGAGTCAATCGTGCAGTTTGAGCAGGTGCTGAATAACGCGACTGAAAAAATCGCACAGTGTTTGCCCAGCTTTAGGTGTACTGTCATCCGAGACTTGCACCGCAGTGTCAGCGTTTGTTTCCCTGTTGGCCATGCTTCTTGTTGTGGTCATCTGTTGTCTTCCGGTATTTTCTCCGTAAGCGACCTTTCCTCGACCAATGAGATGAGCGGTAATCTGAATTGTCATACTCGAATTGTCATAAGTGTGCTGTCAGCTCATTGGTCACAAAGCAGGAGAGGGGCTGGGAATTGTGTTTTCAAACAAAGCGTTAATTCCATTAACATTTATAGACTACTTTTGATTCTCACTGTATTACGGGACAAAGTGCGTCCCTTATTAGCTCAATACGGGACGTGTACTTTTGTTTCTAAATACGGGACGATTCCGTATTTTAAGGGACGGTTGGCAACCCTACACGTGTGCTCCGGATGGAGGGAATTTTACTGCACATGTGCTGACACGTGCTGATTGGTTCAGGTCCAGTCACGTGACAGCAGACTGGGGTAAGGTGTGTTTGCGGTGAGTAACGTGCGCTTTGTTTTTCCCGGCAGGACCAAGTGGAAGCGTCAGTCTGCCGCCGGCTTGGAGCTGCTGGCCGAGGCCGGCAGGATGTTCCTGCCCACGCACTACCTGTACCCTCCTGCCCCGCCCACAATGAACCTATACCTGTATCGAAGCCACGCCCACCAACACCACCCAGCCCCGCCTCTGCTACCCCACATTCTCACCCACACTCAGCCCCTTCCCCACTGACTAGGACTGGTTCCCTCAGGAACAAACTGCTGTGGCGGTGCCGGGGCTCAGGAGGCGGGGCTCAAGCAAGGAAACAACAGTGACGTTCACGTCTGGACAGCGAGTCCAGGCAGGAGTGCAGAGCCGTGGTCGAGCCACGAACTTCTCTGTGCGTTTCTGTAGCTCTGACTTCGGTTTTTACATTTTCAATAAAGAAAATAAAGATTCTCATTGTTGTTTTCCTTTGATTCAAAGTGAAAGCGATGGCTCTGATTGGTTCCCAGGCTTGGTTTACAGCAACTCTGTCTGGTGAGCAGGCGGCACTCTGCTGGTTCCGACTGGGACGCACCTCCCCATCCTCCTCCTCCCAGCTGCACCTATGAGCGGCTCTCCTCTGAGCTCCTCGCCCCACCTCTAAGGCTGAACTGGCTTTGTTCCAGGAAGTAACCATATTTGGTCAAGAGCAAAATTTAAACCTCAATACAATAGAGCCCCCCCCCCCGTGAACACTGAAGCGTTGTCACGAGGATCTCGTCTGCTTTGCTTCAAAAGTGAAAACAGCTGGAAGAACACATCTGCACACAAACATCTGCACACAAACATCTGCTTTTATTAGCACGGGTTCATGTTGGGGATGCAGTACGGTGGCCCCTAAGGACAAATGACACAGGTGCACAGTCAGGAACAGGGCGGGGAGTCGGGGGCGTGTCCACGAGCAGCACTCGGGTTTCAAACTCGCAGCTCGGAGCGACAGAAACGTGCGTGAAGTGGTGAGGGTGGAGCGGTCCGATGGTCGTTATTCTGCGACCGTCTGAAACTCAAAAATCTCGTCACAGACCGACGAGTGCACCGGCCAACCAGCCAAGGCAGGAGGAGGAGCTCGCTCACACGTCAGCATCAATCACATCTTTCATATATTGACCATCGCCTCAGCTGCTCAACATCAGACTCTTCTTCATCACTCCTCCTCCTCCTTCTTCTTCTTCTTCTTGGCGTCTCTACTCTCCAGCCCGCTGGAGAACTCTGAGCAGATCAGCCGGACCTCCCTCTGACCAAACCTGAGACACAGAGAGGAAGAAGGGCGCCATCAGCTCGTCGTCATGACAACAAGAACAGTATTAGTTTTATAATCAGCTTCTTTATACATGTCACACGCAAACACACGCACACACACACACTCCTGAGTGGACGGCGTGTAAACGCCATGTGTGACTGAGGGGACCCACTTTGATTATGTACAAGCGTGTGTGTTTGTGGCAGTCATCACAGCAGGACCAATGAGCACGAGCACACACACACACGCACACACACGCGCACGCACGCAAGCACACACACGCACGCACACACGCACACACACACCGTGCTGCATCGAGGCCTCGCCTGAGCGCTTTTACTGTCTCCATCTTTGTGTTTGAAGGCGTTCGTGCTTCCTTCGCTTACACGAAGCGCGTCGGGGCCGTGTGCTGACAAACGGCCTCACAGCTTCTGGGCTGATACGCCCTTTGACATCCTGACACGCTGTGTGTCTGTGTTCTCGTCTAGAAGGCGTTGAGCAAACGTTTGCTTCAGCGATGGAGTGGTGGAGGTGAGCGTGCGCTCAGCTGGTGACTGCATCACTTCAAACAGTCACACCTGCTGGTCCAGGTGTGCAGCGGGTCCATCCCGACTCTGTGTGTTTAAATTAAGGTTAGAACCCTCGGCTGCACAGTCCTCACTCACCTCTTCTTTCCAGTCAGCTTCTTCTGGTTCTGGTTCTTGGTCGGACTCCCGGTCTGCTTCCGGGCCTGGTTCTGGTTCTTCCTGTGGCTCCCGGAGGCCCCGGGACCGGCGGCGGCAGTCAGACCCTGCGGAGCGTCTCTGAGGCCAAAGCTCTTGGCGGCGTGGCCCAGGTGGAGCGAGCGGATGTGGAAGATGTGTTTGAGGTGAGCAGGGTAGGTGGTGTACGCTCGCAGGAAGGACTGCAGTGCTGTTGACATCACAGTGACAGGTCAGCCAATAAAACAGCAGCACGTTCTCCTCACTCTCGTCACGTTCTCGGCGTCGTTACCTTTCTTGGCAGCCTGTAGCGACCGAGCGTCCGCGTGGACAAAGTTCTCAAACTCAGTCTGAAGGACGGTCGCTCGCTCGCGGACTTCCTGCTCCAGAGCTTTGGACGAACTCTGACAGGAAGAAGAAGAAGAAAAAAAAACACGTCAGACTCAGCCGTGCTCCGGAAATCTGCCGTCTGCGCCTCGAGCTCCCTCGCCTCAGCGCTGGAACGGTTTACTAAAGCACCACATGTGACCAGCGTGGTGCAGCGCCCCCCGCTGGGCTGCGTGGTCTGTGATGTCACTCATTGCTCTGACCCGTGTTAAAGGTGAGGACTTCAGACTGGGGTCGTGGGAGGGGCTACTGTAAGGAGCAAACCTGCTCGTCACAGCGCTGCTGAGCACGTGTGAGCTGTGCAAACACAAATGATTATTTTTAGCTGCTGCGGGTCGAACGTGCGAGCGCTCACGCCCCACACTGATTTATTCCTGTTTACTCCGACAGGGAAGAATCCAGAATTTTCAGACTGTTTGATTCAGCAGCTCTGCTCCCGCATCAGCACGAACATCGTCCCCACGGCAGCGTGCGAGACGCGCCCACGTACCACCTGATGTCTGCTCAACAGATGTTTAAATAAAGGTCGACGTGGAGAGAGAGGAGCTGAAATCTGTTCTGACAGCTACAGCGTGACGACACAAGCATCAGGTCGTGGCAGGTCACGCGTCATGGAAGCGGAAACATCAGAGGCTGAACCTGCTTCACACACGCCGTCACCACGGCGCTTTTGACTGGCTGACAGGAGCGACTTTAAAGCGGCGCACAGCAGGCGGTCTGGGCCGGGGTCTCACTCTCTCAGAGTCTTAAAGCTTTTTAAAAATACTACAAGAGCCTCATTAAAAACACAGCGACACACACAGGGGGATGGCCCGGCCGCCCCCGCAGGCGGGCTCCAGGCAGAAACGACACGCTTCCTGTGTCTGGAGACTAACGAGCAGGCTGGCGCCTCCTCGTCATCAGGGCACGATCTGCTCGCCGCTAAACACACCTTGTTCTTTAAGCACAAGCGGTGACCTCCTGCTCACGCTCGCCTCACAAAGCTGCGGCACCAGTCGCTAAGCCGATACCGGCTGGAATGGGCTGGTATCGGCTCGGACTGGTTGTTATGGGCGACCAGCTTCTGAAGCAGGTCTCAGGTGGAGATCGTAGCCGCTGCGTCACTCAGCATGCCCTGCAGCGCGCTAACAGCATCAGAGCTGATGGAGTCCATGATGGGAGCCTACATTCAAAAACGTCAAAGGAGGCGCCGCCTGCTGGTGCTATTCAGCTATTACAAGTTACCAGAGTTTACTAGGAGGCGGAGCTTGAATTGCTCAAGATAAAAAAATGGCAGAAATAAAAAACAAACAAAAAACATTTAGTGTCTCAGCCAATCACATCTGATCACCAGCCTCACCCGCAGCCACCTGACAGAAGTTTTCGGAAGTGACCTACCTTGCTATGGTACTTGCCCCGCCCCTTGTAGACATCATCGAACATCAGACTGGACAGGATGTCCTGCAGCTTCATCTCTGATAGGCTGAAACACAGTAAGCCCCACCCACATGGTTAAAACCAGCACAAGTGCCACCCAGCATGACACTGCACGTCAGCAAACCTGATGTTGTGATTGGCCAGCTCAGTGATGAAGGCGGTCTCAGCGGGGGTGAGGAAGAGGAGGCTGCTTCCTCGCGCTCCAATCCGAGCTGTACGTCCGACGCGGTGAACGTACTCGGCCGCTGCGGTGGGAGGAGTGTACTGGGAAAAACCAAAAAGGTTATCAGTCATGTCCTGCTCGCTGATTGGCTAGATACATTATGTAGGTGCTTACGATCTGAGCCCGTTTATTCTGCACGCTTCCTCCTCCCCTTTGCGACACCTCTGAGCAATTACTTCAAAATTATTTCTGCATAAAGCCCCTAGTGGACATTACAGGAACTGCAGTGCTTATATAAGCCAATGACTCATCATCAGACTCGTACAGACCAGGAAACCTGGGTTAGCGTACTTGTTTACAGACCCCGTCTTCTGCTGACAAACGATTCAAACGACAGGTATCCGCCCCACACATGACCTCACTGCAGAGCTGCCACCAGATTGGCTACATCCACAAACCCATCATCACAAATTATTAATAAAGGCTCATCATCTGGAATCACAAGCCCTGCTACCCAACCATAACTCTTCCAGTCGTGACTCTCACTCATGCCATCCTTTTCAGACAAAATAAATCACTCGCTGCATCCTTCTGATTCATTCGATAACATAAAGTCACCTGAATAATCCAGGTGACCTGGGGCAGGTCCAAGCCCCTGGCTGCCACGTCCTGAAACAAAGAGCACACAAAGGAAGTTTACGGTCGTGTCCAAATTCATGGGCTGCTTCCTCCCGTCACAGCGACGCGCCGAAGGCCGTCCAAATTCGTAGACTCCTCTGAATGCAGCCGACAAATGCGTCCTCCTTTTCCCCGAATTTGAAGGATGGGTCGGGTGTGTCCAACAATGGCGGCCGCTACTAAGTTTTAAAATTACTCTTATTAATCTTTCTGGGTCACAAAATAAACGTTTAACATATTTTCAGGCAAGAAAGTAGTTGTGTAAACTTCAAATATCTGCTCGGTTTATCAAGATATCGCATATTTGCAAAAGTGCTTCGACGTTTTCGGAGACGTCTGTTACCCACCAGCTCGACAGCGAGCCGGGAGCTCGAGGGTCACTGATGCGGCCGAGAACGGCACAACTCCCGGCACATCATGTTCAGATCACCTTCGCTACTCGGGTTAAACGTGATATATGAGTCACTTATACAACCTAAAAATGTTATTGTTGGGCTTTTTTTCAGTGTTTTGTTTGTTCCTGAGTAAATCGGTTTGGCTGAGATTAAAGTTATTAGATTAGATAAAACTTTATTTATCGGGTGGGTTCCTCCTTGGTTTTCACACGGCTGATTAAGCAGAAGTGTGAGATGGTCGAGAGTTTCCTCCAGTGTCCTGTTATATTTTAGACAGCAAGGAGCAGACGGCCGAGTTTATTAAAAACTCCACGAGACAGCGGTGACGCAGATCTGAAGGCTGGACCGTCCCATTTCACAGCCGTTTACTTCCGGCCTGCCCGACCCTTCTGAGGACCCGGCCCACGTAGACCGCGAAGGCCGGGTCCTCAGGAGGATGCAGCCCTGGAATTTGGACACGACTTACATATGTATTACATATATGTACAGTCATGTGTTGCGTTTAAAATACAGTCTGCCCCCTGGTGGTCACAGCGCACACTGCAGGTTAAAGGATACCGACCGTACAGAGCAGCACTCCCGACTGTGACGCCGAAAACTGCTGGAAGGCCTCCGTGCGGTCCTGGTGGGGAAAACAAACACGCATTTAACACTGAGAGGCGGACAGCAGCAGAAACGGCGGCAAAACGGCAGCATTACCTCCTGCTTCATGTTGCCATGGAGACGCAGGAACCTCAGCGGAGGTTTGCGATTGGCTGAGGGCCTGGAGAGCACAGCGGTGAAGAGAGAGTGAAGGAACTCGACGGCCTCGCAGCTCGAGATGAAGACGATGAGTTTGTCGTTCTGAGAAAACTGAAAGGAAAACATCGAGGACCAATCAGATTTTAGCTTTCCTTTTTTCCTTCCTGCCTTGTACTTATCGTTATGACCACTTCCGGACTGTTCACCTTGCATTTGTCCAGTATGAAAGCAGCCAGGCAGACCAGTCTGACCTTACTGGGAACCACCACCACAAACTGCTTCAGAGCCTCAGGCACAGCAAAGCTCTCTGATTGGCTGGCTCCTTCGGGGTCACATGTTACAGCGGAGGTGGTGGTGAGGTCAGAGCAGGGAGCGCCAGACACGTGGATGCTGACCGGGTCGTTTAAACACACGTCTGCTAACCGCGTCACACCTGAAACACACAGAGGCTGTTATACTGCCCTCTACGGGCCGACGGAGGAACTACAGGAGGGGCAGCACAGCGGTGGACTTGCCATTTGTGAGCGTCGCAGAGAGCAGCACGTTCTGTCGGGCTGGTCCCGCAGAGTTCAGGCTGTTTAATATGACCGTCAGGTCCTTCTCAAAGCCGAGGTCCAACGTCCTGAACGCACACATGGACATAAAATTAAGTCCACGCTGCAGGAGGGCGTCGATCAAAGGGAATCGGAGTCAACTACGCCTAAGAGTTACCGATCGGCCTCGTCCAGGACCAGCCAGCGGACGGCGCTGAAGGCGATGCTCAGGGTGTTTTTGATATGGTCCACCAGACGTCCAGGAGTCGAAACCAGGATGTTGATTCCTTTACGGATCCTGAAGACAGAATAATATTGTTACGACAGCATCGCTTCAGACGCCACAGAGCAGCTGAGAACAGACTCCAGCGGCTTCACATCTCTAAAAGCCTGGATCTGAGCTCTGCTGAGCGCCACACAGCTTTGCTCTTTTTCCAGAGCTGACGAACGAACGTGCTTTGTGATCACACCTGGCCTTCTCCGCTTTCCTCTTCTCTCCTCCCATCAGGACACCTGGGACGATCCAGGTAAACGGCTGCAAAGAGAGAGACACATCTGAGAGCGACTCATGCAAAGCTCTCGTTTCTCTGTCAGCTGCTGATTTCTATATCCACATGCGAAGCAGGAAGTTGTTGGTGCTACAAACCACAGCAAGCACACACCTCTGAAAAACGCAGAGCTGGGGCCGTGAAGTGATTAGTGAATTTTCAGAGCCACTGATTGTGGTGAATATTTGGACTTTGTGCTGGGTTGGTGGGACAGCCGCCCCTCGGGGGTCTATACTGGGACCCAGCCCTGCTTGTGGATCTGTGCTGCCATATTCTCTGCACGACTACGCTGATGCATTTTCTGTAAATGCAGTGAAGGATTTCCATAATCACCACATACTAAGCACTATTTCATTCTTACAAAATGAACGTGGCCCACAGTGACACTCACTGGCTGACCCCACGCAGTGACGCGAGCACTTCCCGAGGCGTCCGGCTGTCATTCCTGCTCCCGTGTGGACGTCAGGAAACCCACCGCTGTGCGAACATCGACTGCAGCGCTAAGCACACTTTGCTTGGCTCGTCCACATGTCGGCCGTTGCAGGGTGGTAAGCTACGCTGCACACTTCCTTCATTACTTTGGTCTCTGACGTTGTGCCGCATTCTAACGTTTGACTGTGTTTGGTGGGTTTGTCGTGTCTGTGGTGGGACCGGAGCGTGTCCATGTGACAGAGGTAACAACTCGTTTAGAATGAGCGCCTCCATCTGCTTTAGGGACTTTAACCATAGAGTACAATATGAAACAACAGCTGTGAATACTGTGTTACCTTCAGAAGCTTCTGGAAGGTCTGGAAGGTCTGCTGGGCGAGCTGACAAACAGAAGAGCCAACCTTCAGCGTGTGAACAGGAAGTCACGGATGACACTACAGTGAAACGTGCTAATCTGACCGAACCTCTCTGGTGGGGACGATGATGAGAGCCAGAGGACCATCTGACCTGCTGACCTTCGGCTGAATCGACTGAAGACTCTGGACCAGCGGGACGGCGTAGGACAGAGTTTTACCTGCAGACACGTTTGGGTGGCTTTCATTAGGACATGTTGCTAAATGACTTTCCTCACAGTGCAATCTAATACAAACCTTCTTCCTCGTTACAGAGAGTAGTTCTGATCCTGTACGTTCATGTTTGAACATGTGACCTTCAAAAACAACACGACGCTGCAGGAACTAAACTGGGCTGCATCGATATGCACGTACGATAAACACCCACAAAAGGCCCGCAGACACACACATTAACAAGCCCTGACTCACCTGACTCAGGAGGTCACCTGGACACCTCCTGAGTCAGGTGACGTGTTTTATGTCCACCCAGAAGGAGACCCTCTCACCTGAGAACACCTCAGTGTGACTGATCGACCCACAGAGACCTGCTGTATCAGGTACGACAGGTGACTCACCTGATCCTGTCTGAGAGCGGACCACAGCATCGCGTCCCGCCAGGAGAGCTGGGATCGTCTGCTTCTGTACACTGCGTAAGTATTTTAAAAAACAAACAAAACAACAACATTGCAATGTCCCTTTGTAGAGTTTATACGTTGATCAGGTCACAGTCAGGTGTGTGTGTGTAAAAACCAACCTGGTGAGTGTAGAAATATTCATGACTTTGTTCAGAGTGGCCACCTAGAAGACAGAAACAGCCAATCAGAGCAGCTGACAATGAAGCAGCGATGCTGAACGTGAGACAGACGAAAGTGTGTGTGTGTTACCAAGTGAGGGTGCAGGTCGAGGTCTGAAAACGAGTCGGAGGTAAAAATCTTCTCCTTCAGCTGAGCGATGGCTGGTCTGAAGGAAAGAAGACTCCAAATTATTGATTACTGATCACTCCGGAACGTTCTGCAGTCTGAGCCAATCAGAACCAGCCGAGAAGCTGGTTCAATGAGCCAATCGGAGGCGGAGCTGCACCTGTGGATGTCTGGGATGTCAGGGTTATGTTTGAAGAGTGAGGAGGTCTTGATGCCGCCACGTCCCGTTTCCTTCGCTCCATCCTTCTTCTTCTTCTTCGGGGTCCCGTCTGTCCCGTCACTGGGTGGAGCCTAAAAAATAAAGACAGTTCATATGGTGACCCCTGTGGTCATGAAGGGAACTGCAGCCTTTATTCTGTGGCTCTCTGCAGTTGCCATGGGCGAAAGCTGTAACTAAGAAGTGAGGTTAGCAGGTTAGCAAGCTATGATGACATGAAGGCAGCTTCCCCTGTTAGATCACCATGGTAACGGCTTCTGAGCACATCACCTGGTTCAGAGTTTGTGTTTAAAATCCACGTTCTGATTGTGTTGCTGCCTCTCAGTGAGACAATGTTGCCCACATGAATCAGTCACTAACCACTGAATCAGCTGTTCCTCTGATAACAGTGGGCGGAGCTCTGCTGATGCTTTTCATACAGAAGAAGAGTGAACAGGCTGAAAGCTGAAGGGCTTAACAGAGACAGCGGTTTGGATTTACTGAGCCGGCTAACAGAGGAAACCTGGATCTGCACCTGCAGGCTCCTCCTCCTTTGCTGCCACCTGCAGTATGAAGGAGCTCCTCCTCTTCTCTGCTTTCTGCGGCACCTCAAAGTCACAGAAACATCAAATGAACGCACTGAGAGAGAGACAGAGAGAGAGCTCACCCATGGCTGCTGAGCCTTCTGACGTTTCCGTTTGCGGGATGGCGGTGATGACGTCATGTCGCTGGAGCTGTTCCGACACAACTGTTCATCGGAAGATGACATCATCAGAGGTGTGCGTGTGTCCACAAACTACAGGTAAACACAGAGCTGTGAGTCACTCTCACACCAAACTCCATTCACAAACAGTTTGAAGAAGAGCTTCTCTTATTGGTTCAGCTGCGCAGCAGTTTACCTTCAGTCACGTGTAAAACAGCTGTGAATTAGGCCCACGAGGAGCTTAACCCACCACAGAGCGGCGTGTTTAAAGTTCGACACGAGAGCGCGCGGCTGCTACCGTTGACCTGATGCTAACAGAAACTTCCGGTCTGCGAAGACCTTTCAGATTAAAAGAAAAAAATTAAAAAGAGGAAAACGAGACAAATAAATACTCACTGTGAAACTCTCCACACGTACAGACACGCGTGATTAATGCTTCCTGCTACCTCACAAACCCCGCCTTCTCCGCTCAGCAGCTGATTGCGTGGACATGCGCAGTAGCGTCATCTCATTCCGGATACACACTCTAGTAATAAGGGAGACTGCCTGCGTGTAAAAAAACACTGACATACTTTGGATGTTATTATAAACATTTATATCCTTAAACTATTTCAGGGAGTCAATCAGAGGGAGGAACATCCTGCTGTCAGCGAGAACACTGGAGGGTCGGGCGGGCGGTGCAGCAGGTGTGGTTTGAGCCTCCAAGTCACACTGCAGGTGAGCCTGCAGGGAGTGCAGCTCCGGCCTCCTCCAGCAACACTACTCAGAGATTCTATTCTTTCCTTCAGGGTCCGCCACAGCGGACCAGCTCCATCGCTCGCAGCATCCTCGTGGCTCTGCCGTCAGAATGGTTTCAATAACTTCCCCGCTCAGCTCCAGAACCTGGTCCAGATTCTCAAGGAGAAACTTTCCTCCAATCAGTGCCGTCAGGTGGACTTCATGGCAGGAGGAAGAGGAAATGAGGACAAACTGTCCATCATCCATCAAACGTCCCCGTTCCCTCCTGCTCCACGTCCTGTTGTCAGCAGGAAGGCTTAAAAATAGAGCTGTCAATCAAACGGCACGCCCGGCCCCGCGGGGCCTCAAACCGCCGCGGCGGAGGATTAATTATAGTCATTTACCCAAATCACCGCTTTGAAACGGCGGCGAGCGTCTGAGTGAGGTTTCAATCTCGACTTCAGAGGTAAACGGAGATATTTTAACATGAAGGTGTCCTAAACTGTGATTACTGCTCTCACACGGGAGGAGACGGCAGCGAGCTGACAGAGACGTCAATGGCTGTCAGTCACGCCGAGGCCGCCGACACACACCGCCATCAGAGTACTGATACACTACTGATGCTACTGCATAGTAGTCAAACTATTACTTGGGCGACCGTGGCTCAGGGGGTTGGGAATCGCATCTGTAACCGGAAGGTCGCCGGTTCGATCCCAGGGCTCTTTGTCCTGGTCGTTGTGTCCCTGGGCAAGACACTTTACCCTACTTGCCTACTGGTGTTGGCCAGAGGGGCCGATGGCGCGATATGGCAGCCTCGCTTCTGTCAGTCTGCCCCAGGGCAGCTGTGGCTACAACCGTAGCTGCCTCCAATGTGAGAGTGAATGAATAGTGGAATTGTAAAGCGCTTTGGGTGCCTTGAAAAGCGCTATATAAATCCAATCCATTATTGTACTACAATGTACTGATGCTCGTAGTACTGAGCATGCTCAGTGCAGCTGAGTGAAACTGTTGTTGATCTGTGAGATCAGCTGACTCGGACACCCACAGGTGCTCAGTGTGTGTGTGTCACAGTCGTGCTCAGGTTTCCCCGAAACTTCCGTCTTTATTTGTTTCTGTGATTTTAGTAAAATGTGCTTCAGACTTTTACTGGAAAACAAAACACATGGGCGAGTGGGCGGAGTCAGTGAGAGCAGGTCAGGTGGGAGCTCTGCCTGAAGAGAAGCATAACAAACACAGGGAGGAGCAGCACATGCTTTATTTTTACAGACAATCATGTGACCTCAGCTTGTTCAGGTGAGTCAGAGGTCACTCAGAGGTCAGCCTGCTCGCCACGGCCTCAAACACAGAGTGAGGGTCCTGATCAGCATCGATGTGAATGGCCTCAGGATAGACAGACTGACACACACACACACACACACACAGAGTTAGATTTTCACCTGCGTGCACCTGCGGGTTACAGCTCATCTTTGCTGCTTGTTCTGATCTTATGATCCATGGGTTTAAATCACAGCTTTGTTTTTGGCCTTTTAGTCTTTGTTGTTGTTCCTAATGTTTTGCCTCCATCTCTCTCCTGTGTGTGTGTACCTGCAGGGCGGCGCTGTGGAGCCTGTACTGTTTCAGTCTCTGTGTTACAGACTCCATGCTGTCCTCAGGTCGGGTCTTTAGTCTGTGCTGAACCTCAGAGCTCGGAGCCGGCCGAGTCACAGGATGGAAGCTGCACACACACACACACACACACACAGTCAATACCACCACTGCACCATCAGCACTGTGTGTGCCTACACATGTGTGTGTATTACATCACAGGGCCGACAGCATGATGCAGACGTGTTCTCCCTGCAGTGGGAATTTTCCCGTCACAGGTAAATCTGAGTTCCTGACCTCTGACCGCTGACCGGGTCTGTGGCTCTCAGACTGAGTCTCTCCAGGCAAACGTCATCGGTCAGCTCCAGGAAGAAAACCCTGACAGTAAGAGGAGGACGAGACGAGAATGCGAGCAGGTTAAAAGGATTTCGGAGTTTTCTGGAGAACGGCTCCGTGAGTACAGTGAGCCTGTACCTGTTGGGCTGCTGGTGGCTCTCCTGCAGGCTCCGGGCCTGCTGCAGGTCACAGGGGAAGCCGTGCAGGATCCAGCCCCCGCGGGTGCAGTCGGGTCGGCTCAGCCGCTCCTCCAGGACCTGCAGCAGCAGCGAGTCTGAAACTGCAGCCACAGCGGGGTTAGTGTCGCCCTCTGGACGCTAGCGCACACGGTCACAGCCGGCCGCGCCTCGGCAGCGACGGTCGGAGGCTTATGTCAGCTCGTACTGTCTCTGCCCCCTCCCTGATTTCTTTTTTGCACATTAGTCACACCATAAACATGTCCAAAAACCCTCTGGATGGTCCCACACACTTGTGGGAAACCTTGTGTGGACTGACGCGAGACGAGCGGCACTTTCTGGAAGGTTTGATAGAGAACATCGCAGCCGCAGGCAGACATGAGTGTGTGCTCACCTGGACGTCTGTCATCCAGGTACGCCTGGACCTCTGCTCCTCGACTGGAACCAGCTGCAGCTACAGACCTCAGCAAACGACCACAGCTCACTGACACACACACACACACACACACACACACACACACACACACACACACAGTAAAAAGTGAAAACAGTCTTCGTCGTGTGACCTTTGGCCATTCTCATTACTTCCTCCACCTGAGCGAAACCTCAGATTTCACTCTGACCTATATGTGACCTGACAGGACATGCTTTTCATCAGTGTGACCTCTGACCCTTTAAGGTCTCTGTCATATCTTTACATGTTACAAAGAGACTGTGGCAGGTTTGTATTTAGCAGCTACTCGCCCGGAGCTTCCTATTGGATGCACAGTGAGCCTGAGCTGGTGTCCCTCAACTGTGACCCCATCCTGGCTGCGTACCGTCCACCATCCCGTACTTCTCTGACAGCAGCTGGGCTTGACGGCTCCTTCCAGACCCCGGTGGTCCCAGCAGGAGGATTCTGGGAGTTCTGGAGCGCTGACGAGTCCGGACAAAAGCCAGCACTAAGAGAAAACACACACACACCAGTTAATGCTTTACCTGAATCAGCAGGTAGATCACAGAAAGAACGAGCTCAGGTGTATGGAGCACACCTGAGGACAAGATGCTGGAGCTGCCTGCTCTGTGACTGTTTCACTGAGGCATCATTAAAGAACAGTTTCATTCCTGCAGCACCGTTCATAAAGTTCATAAAGCCAAGCGCCAAGTGTTTAGATGTGTCCGAGGCTCCAGCCAGCAGGCCCTGATCACATGACCTCTGGGACCTGCAGGATGTAGTTCAATCATCATAGAGTCCAGGTCCCCTCAGAGTTCCTGACAGAGGATTTAGTAAACGGAGCAAGGGGACCAAGAGCCTCCGTCAGGTACAACTCTGTCAGGGGCACGAACAGGGCCTCCAGCTTCTTCTTCATTAAGATGGAGAAAAACTGTCAGACATCCAACTTTTAATAGAGTCCAAGCACCTCTGCAGGATCTGGACACACGTCTCGAGGCTTAGAGCAAAAAACACCTGAATATCATCTGCATAGCAAAGCTGCTCAAAACGTGCTGAAGACGAGCAGAACCAAAACTGTGGCACACCGCAGGTCTGGGAGGGAGGAGCCTGAACCTGGACTCAACCACAGGAGAGCATCGTTCACACCGATGATGCAAACACTCCTCACTGACCAATCAGCATCTGTGTGTGTGTGAGTCTGTGTGTGTGTGAGAGAGTCTGTGTGGGTCTGTACCTTGCTGGTAGATGTCAGCGTGTGGTTGGTCGCTGTCGATGACCTTGAGCACGTGCTGATAGGCTGATCTCAGACCCGTGACCTCACAACAGTAACGGTGAAGCTTAGCAAGTCTCTGTTGGTCTGTCAGACTCCTCCCCTTCTCCAGACGCCGAGTGATAATGTCATCATCTGGCAGGATGAAAGTCCGATGGTAGATGTCTGCAGACAGGAAGTGATGTCACAAGGAAAGAACATATTCACTGATGTTTGATTATGGGCGTGGGCTCACCCCCAGTGATTGCGTCGACCAGCCGTCCGCAACTTCTCTCCATCAGCACGTCATCCGCCGCCTCGAGCATCACTGATGACACATACCACAGCGTGATGTCACACAGGAAGCAGCCGCGCAGGGCACAAAGCGTGATCTCACTTCCTGTTACTTACCAACGTGCTCGGGGATGACTCCGCCCTGCTGCAGACTCAGAGCCTGCAGGCGAGTCTGAGGGATTCCCTCCAACACCCAGCCCTGCAGTAACACACACACACACACACACACACACACACACAGACGTCAGGCTGTGTGTGTGTGTGTGTGTGTGTGTGTGTGTGTGTGTGTGTGTGTGTGTGTGTGGGTTCAGAGGTCAGCATGATCCCATGCTCATGAGCAGGTGATGCGTTCAGTCTGTCTGAAGAGTATCTTCAGAAGCCTCCGTCAGAGCTCCAACTCTGAGCTTCTGCACGTGTCTCTGATTCAGTTCAGCTTTATTGACACAGAGCTTCACAGAGAAACCCACCAATCAGACCCCTCTATATGAACAAGCAGGAAGGAAACAGGCAGAAACCTCCAGCAGAACTGGGCTCAGGGAGGGGCTGCTAAAGGGTGCACTGTTAGGGGTGTGGCCTGTTAGACTGACAGGTGCCTGCTCTCTGTTCTGTCCCGGTTCTGTTGGAAGCTCTTGGAAGTGTGTACTAACGGTTCATCTTCACCTGCACATCCACGCTCCTGCCGGACGCAAAGTTGCACAATTTAATGTGACAGCAGCAGGCGGTGTCCTGACGGGACCTGTCAGTCATCCTCAACACACACACCGACACAAACACACACACAGACGGTCCCTGGTGTGTGTGTGACGAGTTTAGCCTGCAGCCAAAAACAGCTATTAGCAAATCAAAGAAGCTGCTAATGACACACACACACACACACACACTCTGACGGGTGGAGCTGTCTCACTGAGATCTTCGCAGGAGTGAGTCTCACATGAGAAGCTGAGATGTGACGAGCCGTGTCCATCTTTCGTTTACAGTCTGAGGTGTAAACAGCTTCTGTTTGTTCTGCTTCTCTGAAGTTTTGACACAAAACGTTGTTAAAGCTTTGCTCGCTAATGTTGCAGCAGAGCAGTTCAGTATTGGCGTACCTGTCGAAACCAAGTGAGTAATAAAGATCAGCCGACCTGTGGCGGTGGCTGAGGGTAGCCGAGGGCAGGCAGGTATGTCCTGAACCAATCACAACACATGGTTCTTTCCCTTCATTACATAAAATGTTCCCTCAAACTATACCAGACTGAAGTCTCGAACACCGCTCTCTTTCCTGACCTTGTAGAAAAATCAAGGCAGTGTATTTCATTTTGAATGTACTCTGATTGTTAAACATGGAATAAACTTCCTGTCTGCCATGTTTGATCACACGGGTCCAGCAGCTGATCCACGTCTGTGGCAGTTTCTGTTTCTTTATCGTGTAGAGACACAGACGTATTGTTGAACTTCTTCACACTGAGCAACAATAAAGAAGCAGACTAGAAACCCCCCTGTGGGACTGCAGAGCCCTGACCGGACACCACAGACACCCCCCCTGAACCTGTGCTGCGACTGGGTCCTGCTCAAAGCAGCAGTAGTGCAAAAGAAGGCAGAATTCTTCCAGACCTCCTGCAAAAAGCCCCGCCCTCTC